TAATTATCTAATTAGTGATCAATCAATTAAATAATGTAATTGGTATAGAAAATTAATCAAAAAATACAAGAAATAAACTAAACTAGTAGTTTTGAATTAAAACAAATAACAAATATGGTTCATCCTCATCCAATAAAAAAAATGGATCTAACTTAACATGCTTTTAAATAAATTACAAGAAAAATAATGGAAAATTATCGCCCTGATCATGAAATATTGTAAGAATTCTTGATCTTCAATTCCAGTGTTTAATTCTTCAAAATCTTCACATTATTCACTTCAATTCCTTGTTAGGGTTTGATCTCTTCTCTCAAAAGTGATGAATTGATCTCTCGTTTTTAATGAATTTGATGATAATATTATGTATGAAAAGGCAAGAGAGGATTTTTTTTTCAATATTTTCTCCCAAGTTTTGGATTTATAAGGGTTGAATTTAGGTTAAAAAACCATTTCAAAGTTGTTACCAATAAGAGTTTGAATTTTAGAAAAAAAGGAAATTGACTTGTCAGTAGAAAATTTGGCGTGGCGCACTAGCAGTTATATCTACCGCCCGCACAGGCATGTTGAATTGCTCTCGGGTCAAGAAATATATATGTCGTGCATGTGCCATGAATTTCCCCTGCACGCACCAATTTGTATCGTGTCGTCTTCGAGCAGATTTCGATTTTCCCTGATATTTGATTGAGGTGATTCAAAATGCATTAAAAAGATAACTCAAATGGCTAAAATTCTTCTAGAAGTACATTTTTTTCTAATTTGAACGTTTACGATTCGAAAAATGAGTTTCAAGTTAGGGCTAAAAATCCGAAAGCATAACTTTTTTCAGCTGGAAATTGATTTGTGAAACTATTTCACTCATTTGACTCCAATTAATCATATTTGATCTTCAATATAATTTTATGGTCTGAATCAACAATTGAATGTTTACACTTTGATCCTCAAACTTTGAATTTTTTTTCGTTTTTACCCGTTTTCGTTCATTTTTTCCAATTTTACCAATTTGTATTGAGTTCATACTAACAAACATAATTAACACATAATTAAGCTATAACTCATCCAAATAATTAAACAAATATTTCAATTTAATGGTCTAGATAAGTATACAAAATACAATTATCACCATCCATTGATTCAAAATCAGAGCTTACATTGTGCATGGTCTAAAGCATCTTTGTCCTATATAGGTAGAGAGAAACTTATAAGAGCCATTCTCCAAGGAGTGGAGTGTTTTTGGCATTCCATCTTTCCAATTCCAATCACGGTTGTTTCAAAGATCACTACGCACCTTCCTTTGGGGTACTACTAAACAGTTGGTAGCTTGGAGTAAAGTTTGCTTGCCGAAAGATGAGGGTGGGCTTGGATTTAGAGACATCAAATGCTGGAATTCAGCACTACTTTCAAAATCCCTTTGAAATATCCATAGTAAGAAAGACAAGCCATGGATTAATCAAATTTACTTCCGTAAGGCTAGTATTTGGACATTTGAAATCAGCTTAGAGGGTCGGAACTCACTGACCATGTTGTTGTTGATAGGTTGTCCAAATGGACATCTGCTGGCCGGTTTTACATACACAATGCATATCAGTTTTTTAGGCCGAATGGAGGGAAAAGGACCTGGACTGGGGAGATTTGGAGACCATATATCACTACAAAACACTACATGTTGTGGTTGGCTGCACAATCTAAGCTCCTTACGAAGGATAAATTGATACATCTAGACATTGACAAGAAGTGTGTTTTTTGTGGTTCACTCCTTGAAACAGGTCAGCACTTACTTTTTCAGTGTGTTTGGACTTCTAGCATCTAGGGACAGATCAAAGATTGGTTAAGAATGAAGAGATCAATGACAACAATATTTAGTGCATTGAAATGAATGAAGAAAGAATGCTCGAGGCACATCTTGGCAATCTAAAGCCAAGAAAATTGCCCTTGCTTGCACGGTCTACCGTATTTGGATGACGCGGAATAGAATGATTTTTGAGGATCTTAAACCATGTATTGATAGCATAGTGAGACAAATTAAAACATATGTATACAAAATCATGTTTTCTTTGTATCCTAATGTTTTGGTTCATTTTGAATCTCTAGTGTTGAGTTGATTTGTATATCTTTTGATTTTTTATTTACCTGGATATGTCCAGTGTACTTGTACATGAATTTTGATTAATAGAATTTACAATTACTGGTAAAAAAAAAAAATACAAAATCAAGAACCCACCTAAGAACAACCTCAAAATCAAAACTTAACCCCAAAAGCCGTTCCCAAACTTATTATAAAAAACAAATATCTACAAACACCGACAATACTCAATAAAATAAGGGATAAGGTCTCATTTTTCACAATCCTAGAATCAAGAATTTACGAGTCAACAATGATAAAATGACAATAACTGTAAATTTGAAATCACTATAAAACTCTGAAATAAATTCTTGATTGTAGATGACTTTCATTGAGTTTCAAACTTAAGATCTTAGCTTTATTATCATCAAATTCAAGTCACTCTTTCGATTTCTGTTTGAGATGTACACAATAGGAAAAGGAAACAAATTATAATTTTGCGTAGATGGCTTTTGGGTTTAATTGTTTAAAAAATAACTGAACATTGACATGGGCGGATACAAATGGGAGTCAATGGGTGCCCGGTAAACTCTCGAGTTCGGCTCATATTCAAATCTTATGATCGGCTCCGCCCGTTGGCTCATGAAAAAAATATAAGCTCGGCTTACCTCGGCTCAAAACAAGTTCAAGAGCTAGCAAACGGCTCGATCAGTTTGCCGCCCCTAGATACAATGGGTGAGATCAAGGCCCACCCAACACCCAACAAAGAGAAAAGTCTACAGCTGACCCATTTCATCAAGTCAGTTTTTGGGTCAATTTTGGAGTACAATTCTCGAACATTAGGAAAGGTTGTTACCATTTTGAAGTACGAGCAACATACTTCTTTAACACATTTTAATTTGCAAAACTGCTTAACCATGAGGGAGTTAAAATGGTTGCACGAAATGAGTTTAATAAATCCAATTTTAACTTATTTTAAAGATAATTTTTTCGATCATCGAAAGAAGTTCTTGGTATCGTCATGAAGAGCCCACAACCAACTATGCAAAGTATATTTCAAAAATGAAAGAAAGGTTAAACAGTGGACTTAAAAATAACTAGTCAACGACGACTACTTAAAATAGTTTAATATATTTCATTCCCACTAATTCAATCGTCAATTTAAATAAAATTCTATTCGGGTGCAAAATGAGACTCGTTTGTTTTAAATAATAGAAACCTCGCTTAATTTTAAAATGTTGCTAAAATATCATCGAACTTTGACAAAATGCTCAATCCATTAGCGTTCAGGAGGATCAAACGATAATTTGCACCATACGTGAATTTTGTCTACGACAAAGGCAATTCTATCCAGGCCAAGCAACGAAATCCTAGTGAGTGATGAATGAAGAGAATTTAGACATAGTTTAATAATGTTTTGGCAATATTTTAAAGTTTAGTGAGATTGACCTGACGCGACGCGACGCGACCCGGCTCGACCCGAAGTCCAATTATCTTTTAAACAATTAACTCGACTTCTATTAATGCAGGGTAGCCTAACCAACTACTTTCATTGCAATTGTCTCTATTAGTCACTTCATTAATGCAATTGCCTATCAAATTTATTTATTTTGTTCCCACCATAATTTTCGTTTGACTAATCATATTTTAATTGCAACGACGGTCATCAATCTTTGTTTATTGTCGCATTTTCGTTGCATTCTTACTCTCAACCTTCTCTTAATTAACAAATCTTTTTTTTAATCAAATTTTGTCCAAATATTTTGTTAACGTACTTTAAGATGAGGACATTTTTTATTAAACTTTTTATGATGTTCTTTTTGCTTATTTAAAAAATAAAAGAGGAAAATAAGTTTCTTTTTATACCTTTCCAACATTTTTTTTTTGGAACGAAAATCGTCGCTAGGGACAAAGTGCGATAATAAATAACAAACTAAGGGTAAGCATGCAATGAAATGAAAAACTTAAGAACATAAATGCTTTAACGAGCAAGTTTGAAGACCTTCGTTATAAAAAGAGCCATTAGTAGGGACGAATAATATAAATTTATGAAAGACTAGTTAAAATTGTCATTGATAAAAGGTTGAGGGTAAAAATGTAATGCATGTGTAAAGATTAGGGATAAACGTATAATTTATCATTTGCAAAAACCTCCCTCTTCATCAGTCGTCAGAAACAAAGCATTCTCTTAAAATGCAAAATCACAATCAATTGAAAATTTCCATATGAAATTCCGCTAAATTCTCCACATATTCATATACAGAAGATTTATATTCGAGAAGACGCGGCCCGGAATTCGTTAGCCCTAATAGTATGAATTTAGCTTCAAGAATTGGTTAGTCTTGTTTTCTTGAATTTAGATTTTTTTTTTCTTTTGGGACTTTTTTGGCTCATGCAGTCCGAATACTTTTATTTCGGGTTTTTTTACTGTTATGTTCTCGAGTGTAAATGGAATTTAGCATTTCACCAATTATTTTTTTTCGGGTTCAATATGCTTCAATATTTTCTAGGATACGAAGGAAATTTTATTTTTTTCCTATTTTTTTAATTGAATCAATTATGATCATCAAGTGATTGTGTGGATTGAAAATTAAAATGTAGGGAAATGGGTGGCTAAATTGTTAAAAGGGGAGGGAGGGATTGCTTTACCGCAATTTGTTTGCTTGTTTATGATGGATTTTTCCAGTCCAAAAAAATAAAAAAATAAGGAAGCTAAAGTTTCAGCAATAGTCGTGTTCCTTAAGCCAATTATCTTATACGCCATTGCAATTTTCTTTGCCTTTACAGGAGAAAAGTTGATTTTTCGTTGAACTAGATAAAATTACTGGTTTTGGAAATGTTGTAGATGGTATGGTGGATGTTACGGACAATGTGCAAGGTGGTGAGAAAGCAATTGTTTTTAATATGGTTGATGTTGTGGATGGAGCACAGGACAGGGATGGCCAGAAAACTAGTTCTCCTAAAAGAGACCTTGTAGGAAATAAAGAGGATAACTTTGAGCCACATGATAGTGTTGAATTTGAATCACATGAGGCAGCATATTCGTTTTATCAAGAGTACGCTAAGTCAATGGGGTTCACCACCTCGATAAAAAACAGTCGTCGCTCAAAGAAAACCAAAGAATTCATTGACGCTAAATTTGCATGTTCAAGATATGGAGTCACACCAGAATCAGATAGCACTAGTAGTAGACGACCAAGTGTGAGAAAGACGGATTGTAAAGCCAGCATGCATGTGAAGAGAAATCGAGGTGGAAATTGGTATATCCATGAATTTATAAAGGAGCACAATCATGAGCTATTACCTGCCTTAGCATATCATTTCCGAATTCATAAGAATGTTAAATTAGCTGAAAAGAATAATATCGACATTTTGCACGCAGTTAGTGAACGGACAAGAAAGATGTATGTTGAGATGTATAAACAATCTGGTGGACTTCAAAATCTAGGCCTCATAAAGAATGAATTTGATCATCAATTTGATAGAGGTCGGTACTTGGCATTAGAAGAGGGGGATGCAACATTCATGCTCGAGTATTTTATGCGAATCCAAAAGCAGTATCCAAATTTCTTTTATGCGGTTGATTTGAATGAAGATCTGGTTCTGAGGAACTTGTTCTGGGTTGATGCCAATTTGTCCTTTCTGATATAGTCGAAGAGTGATGTTGTTTTATTAGATACCAGTTATATTAAAAGCAATGAGAAGATGTCATTTGCTCCATTTGTTGGGGTGAACCATCATTTTCAGCCCATGTTGCTCGGGTGTGCCTTGTTGGCTGATGAAACTAGACCAACATTTGTCTGGTTAATGAAGACTTGGCTCAGAGCAATGGGTGGGCAAGCTCCTAAAGTCATAATCACTGATCAAGACAAAGCTCTGAAATCAGCTATTGAAGAAGTTTTCCCGTATTCACGTCATTGCTTTGCTCTTTGGCATATACTGGAAAGAATCCCTGAAAATCTTGCTCATGTAATCAAGCAGCACAAGAATTTTATTAAAAAATTCAATAAATGCATATTCAAGTCATTGACGGACGAAAAGTTTGACATGAGGTGGTGGAAGATGGTCAGCAGATTTGAACTGCAAGACAATGAATGGATTCATTCATTATACGTTGACCGCAAAAAATGGGTTCCCACCTTTATGAGGAATACTTTTTTGGCTGGATTGTCTACAACTCGGCGAAATGAAACACAGTTGAGAAAGAAACTATTTATCATTCACAAGAAAATCAGTCTGAAAGAGTTTGTGAAACAATACGGTATGATACTCAAAAATAGGTTTGAAGAGGAAGCGTTAGCAGACTTTGATACATGGCACAAACAGCCGGCGCTAAAGTCACCTTCTCCTTGGGAGAAACAAATGTCTACCATTTTTACACACACAATATTCAAGAAATTTCAAGCTGAGGTTTTGGGGGTGATAGGTTGCCATCCTAAGAAGGAAAGTGAAAATGGAACTCATATTACTTTCAGAGTTAATGACTGCGAAAAAACAGAGAATTTTATGGTTACATGGAATGAGGCAAATTCAGAGGTTTCTTGCTCATGCTTTCTGTTTGAATATAAAGGTTTTCTTTGCAGACATTCAATGATTGTCCTTCAAATGTGTGGTCTTTCAAGCATCCCATCTCAATATATTATGAAGAGGTGGACGAAAGATGCCAAAAACAGTCAATTGATAGAGGGAACCGAAAGAACACAAACTAGGGTGCAAAAGTACAATGATATATGCAAACGCGGTATTGAATTGGCTGACGAAGGTTCGATATCCGAGGAGGGTTACAATATAGCTTATCGTGCATTAGGTGAAGCTCTGAAGAACTGTGTGAATGTTAACAGAAGTGCTGCTGATTATAGCAGCAATGCTATTGCTCTTCGTTGTGCTGAAGAAGAGAATCAGATAGTCCAGGTTACCAAAACAAATAAGAAGAGTACAAACAAGAAAAGAAAGGTTGGGTGTGGGTTATTTGTCATTATCTATATATTCACTCATTTTGTTATATACTATTTGCCTCCATAACAAAGTAACTGTGTCAATCCCAGTTACAATCAGAGCCAGGAGCTGTATTCGTTGAGGCTCAAGGCACCTTACAACAAATGGTAAGTTACACAGTAAACTAGACAGTCCTTATGCAATGTTTCTTACAATGAATAATCAGTTAATCTTTTCTTATAACGTGAACATATTCCATTCTTTTCCAAAATGATGACATTGATCGAATTTCTGATATACTAACATAAGCATATACAACAGATATATGTATGTTATACAACATATTTAAAGATGTAACTTAATAGATAAATGTCTTACTTTTTATATTTTCATAGGAGAATTTTAACTCAGATGGAAATACCTTAAATAGCTACTATGGGTCCCAGCAGAGTATGCATGGGCTGGTATGTTTTTGCTTTAACCCAGATGTTGTTATAAAGAGTTTTATATTTGAATATTATACTTTCTGTATATTATCTTGTGAAAAATAATGTTAACAAATTGTGATACTTTTTGTTTGGTGTTCCAGTTAAATCTGATGGAGCCACCCCATGATGCTTACTATGTAAGTCAACAGAATATGCAGGGACTGGTACGTGATGTTGCGTTACCCATTTACTTTCTGATGAGCCTTGGATCCTCTATTAAAATGTGAAGATGGTGACAATGTATGGTTCTGGAATTTGGTTGTAGGGACAGTTAAACTCAGTTGCGTCGAGCCATGAAGGTTTTTTTGAGTCTCAACAAAGCATGACTGGACTGGTATTGTAGCTATACACAATTTCACGCACACTGGGAGTCACCAAACTTTTATCAAAGTTTCATGTTATTTTCAAGTTGGTTACTCCGACCATGTTAAAAAGTTTACATCTGTAAGCTCGACTATCATATCAGCTTTTCCATTAGTCAACTAATGGACATAGATGAAAGGACCAATTTGTAACATATGGCTGCTGTAAGCAACTTGAAATTTTGCTAGAAGTGACCTCCAGTGTTTTTAACTCGATTTTACAATTTCTTGTATAGAAGCTTATCTGGGTATTGATAATTTAGAATATGGAATTTCCTTTTTCTATTCCGCCTACATTTTAGGGACATCTGGATTTTAGGCCACCAAGTTTCAGCTACGGTCTGCAGGTCAGTTTGGACCCAGTTAACCAAGTCGTTAAATAAAAATGTCTTTGTCAACTTGCCAGGAGCTTATTACTTCTGTTCTCTCTCTAATTTCAGGATGAGCCTAATGTGAGATCAACTCAGTTGCATGGTACTGCTAGGCATGTATGAGGATGGTGAATTACATGACTGCCATAGTGTTTTTGCATTTAAAATCTACCGGGTTGTAGATCTAGCAAATGAGATCCTCAATTGGCAGCTATACGTTTCTTGAAAACCCTTGCTATAAAACTTCTAAAGCAGGAGATTTCTGGATCTATCAACTCAGTATGAGAAATGTTGTGCTTGAAAACAGTTAGAAGAGTGTAGTAATTCTCATTTATCAGAATTAGTTAAGCTCTTAGACCTTTTAAATTGCCTAGCTATAAATTTTATTTTTTATCTGTCGTACAAGCTTTTTTATATCTCATTGGTGTTCTGATGAATCTCATCGTTGTCCTGTTCATTAACTGTCCATTGGGTTGCTGGAATAAATAGAGATTGGAACACAAAATTGACGAGACTTGAATTTTTTTCTCTTCTTTTTTCTTTATCTATAATAACAATGTCCAGTACTATAGAGTTTACCTTATCTAACAAGCCATGAAAGCTCCCATTGACCAGATTGAGTGTTTGATTTATTATCTGATTAATTTGCTTCTTGCTCCCTGTTGGGTTTGTAACATTTTGGTCTTCATTTTTGAGGTTCCTTTTGTATTTGTATTTTTGTAACAATTAACTGGATTAAATTTGTTTGTAAATTTAGATGTGGTACATATTTGTTATTTTTTATGTTTACTTTCTGTCAGTTGCTTTTCTACCTGTATTGTTGTTTTGTCCTAGTCGGTAACACGTTTCTCTTTTTCCGACACCAAAATAAATAAGGATTATTCTATTTGTACGTTTAGGTATACAGCCTGAGTAACGTAATGCACAAGTGACATTGTGTCATTGACATGTGGAAATTGTTTTTTTTTCACCAGCCAGTGACAGAATGTGACTTGTACATTATGTCACCCATGAGGTACACCTGAATGTATGTACAAGTAGCAAAGCTCAATAAATAACTAGCAATAAAATACATAATAATTTATTTTGATCAACATATATAACATTGAGAATTTAAATAATAAAAACATAATTTTGCACGACACCCGTGTATAAAATAAAATAAACCAAATTCAGCATAACTTTACCCTCTTCCTTTACGACGGAAATTTAAGCATCAGTGACAGATAATTCTCGCTTTCTTATAGTGATTCGAAGGTGCAAAGAGAATGCCAAAGAAGCCACTATACAAATGTGAAACGGTATGTAACAAAGGAAGAAAATCTAAGAGAACAAGGGCAGAACCGTAGAAGTAAGCAACAAATTAAACTTTGTCCTTTCGGCTTTGTGTCATTTTCAAACTCCATGTAATTGTTATGCATATCCCTTTTCTCATTGGTGGAAGCCACCACTGCCCTCGGACGGTTGCACATGGGCTGAGCCACCATTCTTGACAAAGCCACTAGAGGCCTCCACCTCTGTGTTAGGCATGAATTTGTGCAGAAAAGCAGCAGCATCACATTGAGTGTTATTATTCAGTGAAGTGAAAATGTGTTGTTGCTGATTCGGATATTGTTGTCTTTGGAATTGAATTTGAAATCCATGAGGAGCCATGGCCGTAGATGGGTTCATAGGTTGTTGAGTTCCAAGTCCAGAACTGAAGTTTACGCCTGCGAAACATTAAATTTTTAAATGAGGTCGTTTAAGGTAATATGAGAGCAAACACGATTTTGGATTCACGTCCCATCTTAACTCATTCACAAAAGTTATGTACTTGTCTTGACGACGTGTAAGTTAGGGCATGTGGGAAGACTCCGTAACATCAACTTTTAGTCTCGACCAACTAACAGTTCTAAGTACCTATTTATGAAGATTATACACATCAAACTTTTGATAGTAGTGTGTGTGTGTGTGTGTGAGAGAGAGAGAGAGAATGAAAGGAGAATATTAAAGATAAAATTTGAATAGTAAACGTAACCTTCATTTAAGGGTAATTAGCATATAACGTTCCCACATTTTACTGTTATTGTAGAAAATGCCTATACCTTACATTCTTTTGCATTTTCACCATTGTTTTCACATGTTATTGCGCAAAATGTCATTTTCTCAATTAAAAATTGTGAAATGAAGAATATGTCATTCTCTTTAAATAAACCAAAAAGAAAAAGAACAAATTAATTGCAACCATAGTCCCAAACTTTTTTAAAATGTGCAAATGAGTCTCAAATAAATTATTAAAATTGTAATTAGTACATAATGTGTCTACCTTTCATCGTTATTGCAAAAAAGTCACTACCTTTCACTTATTATTATTTATTTTTACATTTTCACCCTTAATTACATATTCGATTACGTAAATCATCATTTCAATCAATTTTCATCTAATTTCTTGATAAAAAACTGTGATATGATAATATACACACCTATTTAAATGAAAAAAAAATTAAAATAATATTTTTTAATTACTAATTCTCTAATAATTTAATTGACTTGTCTGCACTTTTTATTTTTTATTTTTAAATAAATATGGACTCGTTTACACTTTAAAAAAAATATATTTTTAATAATTTATTGGGGATTCTTTTTCACTTTTTTAAAAAAAAAAATGGTTCTAAGGTTGCAATTAATGTTGAAGATTTTTTATTTAAATATGAGTATATATTCGATATTTCACGATTTTTATTGAGAAATTAGATGAATAAATATTGATGGTTTGCTCAATCAAATATGTATTAATGGTGAAAATGACAAAAAAAAAGAGAGAGAAAAGTATGGACGTTTTTCGCAATAAAGGTGAAATGTATGGACATTATGTGCTAATTACCCTTTTAATAATTTATTTAAAATTTATTTGTGAGTAAAAAAATTGGGACTTTGGTTGCAATTATTTTTTTATTTTACCTTTTATTTTACCTTTTATTTTATTTAAAGAGAATGGTATATCCCTCATTTCACAATTTTTGATTGAGAAAATGGAAAAAAATGATATTTTGCGTAATAAAATGTGAAAATAAGGGTAAAAATATATATATAAGAAAAAGAAAAGTATAAACGTTTTCCACAATAACAGTAAAAGGTTGGAATGTTATGTGCTAATTATGCTTTATTTAATTATTGAAGTTTTTAGACTGAGATTTAAGTTTTTAGGTGATTGAACACTTTTGAGTTCTACTCTCATATTTTGTAAAAAGTAATGTGTTAGTGTACATCATTCTTGACATTTGATATGTTAAAAAAGAACTGGAAGGAAAATTGTTTAATTTTTTAAACTGTTCAATAATGTGTAGACACGTGGCAAAATGTAAAGAATGATGTACGTGTAGCATGATTGTAAAAGGAAATGGGCAGGTAAGAGTCGAGATTAATGTATCCCTCATTTAACAGCTAAAACATTTATGCAAGAAACTTTGACATACCATTAGAATACTCAGTCCTAGATGCAAATGAAGAACTTGGACCACCAGTGAACTGCTGCACCATGGCTCTAAAATTGCTAGTATCCGTATTAATTAACACGGCGGGGGTTCGCCTCAACGCCCTTGGTCGCCTTCTGAGAGGTCTTGAAGCACGACCACCATCCATGTTCAAGTTACTATAACTTGGACTCAAGTTGCTTTGTACCGCCTCGGTGGCACGTCCACTGGCGGCAGCCGCCGTGACAGTCTCAGACACACTTCCACTAAAACTTGGGGTATTTTGAGGTTGCCTGGATGAGTTCTGCTGATAGAAATGCATCCAATCAGCAGAATTTGACATGGGCTCACTTACAGCCATATGGGAATGGGACTTAAAAAAGATGCCAAAATGAGAGAACTTTTGGCTAAGTTCTCATTATTTCAAAGTATTAGGTGAGAACTGAGAAGGAAATAAATTTTAAGTGAATTTAGTTATTTATAGCGTGAATTGGATTACTAATTCTTTGGTCAAAAGTAAAGACTTTTCAAGGGAAAAATTTAATGAAGGTTACCCAACTTTGAGGGATGTCTCATAAGTTGACAAACTTTACAATTATTTCAATTTTAGTTATTTTGTCTGTTGACGATAATAAAACTATCAGGTCTTGCAAACCTGACAAAAAGTTGACATGGATGAAGTCGTTAGAATTTGACATGCACGATGAGTTGAGAAATCAAACTTGCTCGATTCTTGAATTTGTCTTCACACCATTGTTTACTAATATGTCAAAATTTAGGCATTTTTCCATATGTAGTCCATGTATGCCCTATGTGGCATCCTGCTTGCTTTTTCAACGTCCCACGAGTGACCCGAATTGAAATAATTATGATGTTTGGTAACTTAATTGAGACTTTTCAAAATTGGGTGTCCACCATTAAAATTTACCCACTTCTCTATGAAATTTTTGTTGCTTGGTGGGGTAAGAGGGGTAGGGTAGGGTAGGGGTTCTGAAAGCTGTGGGAGTGGAGGTATGTTTCCTGGAAGCAGCGAGCAAAGATGAAAGCGATGGAGTCATGGGGCTGACTGGGATTCACAGAATTTGGGCTGCTTTGGCCACGAAGGATGCAACCACGTAACTCCTTCGTTATTAAGTCGGTATAGATTCTTTAAAATTTATTTTTTTTCTCAAATTCATTTTCACATTCTCTCAATGAAATAATTTTGCATATGAATCCTTGATTTTTTTTCCTACATTTTTACACTATTCTCCAAAAAATTAATTTTCACGAAATCTATTTGATTCAATTTATATTGGATGTGTTTGAGACACATTATTTTGAAAGAATGTACATTCTCTCCGACATTAACTTTTACACTATTTCCTGTAACAAAATCTAGAGTGTGTTTGGTAGGGATTTTTGGGGGAAGAATTGATTTTTGAATAGTGATATGATGGGAAATGTGTGGTTGAAAAAGAAGAAAAAAGTATTGATGTGATGGAAAATATTATTTTATTGAAGAATGTGTGGTTGAAAATGAGAATTGATTTACTGTAGAAAATGAAAATTTTTACCAAACAGGCTCCTACACTCTTGTTTTTAAAAAAATTTATCATATCATTGCATATATTTTTTTCACATTGGGTGATGTCGACCACCATGTCAACCACAATGTACATATAGTTTAATTCATAGATGAATCGATAATTCCAGTAATTCAATTATTGAGCAAATTGTAAACTATAATAATTATCTGGAGAAAGTAAAAAAGAAGCACTTTTTGTACATTATTATTTCTTTTATTTATGCATTCGATCTTGAATCTTATATCTCGATTGTAAAAATTAATGGCGTGGACTAATAATTTTTATTTATGTTCATTTAAACATTTTTTATAACTTTTATTTAAATAATCATTAAGAATTTGAACTATTTTTCTTTTAATATATACATTTTATTTTTTAAAGAATTTTAATTTTTTTAATTTTCAGTTTTCTAATTTTTTTTTTAAAATTTCGATTTAATTTTTAATTTTTAAATATATAGAAATTTTTTACTTTTAAAATTTTATTTACAATGCTTTTTTTTCCATATTTTTAGTGTTTCAAAATTTTCACTAGAAACACTCAGAAGTGTTAAAAATGTATTTTGAGTTTTATATTATAAATTTAACTTATTTTTGAAAATGTATATTAAAAAATATCATACCAAACACGTTTTGAATATTTTGTAAAATTGAAAATAGCGAACAACAAGCCAAACGCACCATAAACCTTCGTGCTCTTTTAAGAATTTTCATTCATATTCTGTCGATAAATTTCAAAAAAAAAATAGTTCTTTTAAAAAAAAAATCAAAACAAAATGACGTGTTATAAAATAAGGTGACGTCATTTTGATTTAAGCTGTTTTCTTTGTTTGACGAATTAACATATTCATGCAGACTGAAATGATTTAAGCTACAAAATAAATTATAGGAGATTCTTACGGACATTTCGTTGAAGCAGAACTTTTTTTATTAGGCGTAAAAAGCCCAATTTATTAGTAGATAACACAATCGATTTAATTATGAAAAATAGAATTTTTTTTTTCTAAATGTAATTTAAAATCTTCGACTTTTAGGTTTTTCGTTATTCATCACGTCAAGATGACACTCCACCATTGCACGGAGAAATTGAGAATTGAAATGGTTTTTTAGTTCTTGAATATTCAGACAATAAAAAGAAGAAAAAATAATAATATTAAATTTGCTTTACTTGAACAAAGAATAAAAAAAAAATTAATCATTTTTATTTATTAGTTAGAGTTGAACGTACATTACGTGTTATTTTGAAATACTTATAAGTACTGTAAGAATAATATTTGATACAAATTTATTGGGAGGATTTGACGAGTTTCAAACGAACTAAATAAAATAAAATTTAGGATATAAATTTAAAAGAAGAAATTTGTAATCTTAAAAATCAACTTCCATGATTCAAATTTTTCGAAATGATGAAACTACAAATGAGTAACATTCTTATACTATATTTGGTGCATAAAAATTAATTACTAATATATGAATTTAAACACCCATTAAAATTTCTAGATACATGAATAAAAATAAATTCATTTATAATAACTTCGGATTTATGTAAATCAAGATTTATCAAATCAAGATTCACTGAATCAAGATTAATGTGAATGTTAATTAATTGAGAATTAATAAAACGAATTTCATATATGACAATGATTTTGTAATATTTATTATATGTTGAAAAATGAAAAGTAAAGTATTATTGAAATAATTGAATCGTAATAGGGTTAAATTCGTCCAAAAATAATTCTCACTTGATGCGATATTTAATATATTATAAATATAGATATGTCAGTGCATAAATTATATTTTGATTTTGTCAATAAACGTTAAGAATTTCAAGTAGAGTAAAAGCACGCAATGAACATATTTGTAAAGGAAAATTGTGATACATAGAAGGAACAATATGTAAATTGAGGCAAAAGTTTGATTCTCTTTCCTGTAAGATGAATTTGTTTCGAACAAGTGTTCATGGTTGAATGATAATCATCTCCTAAGATACAATGATTTCTTATTGCGGCAGTAGCACTTAAAACCATAAAAAACAACAAACTAGATACGATAAATGTGAATATGGTAAATCGACGATTTTGACATTTTACAACCATTGAGATCAATTTATAATATGTGAAATATTGTGTCTCAAAAGAGACCACTTCACGAAAACACACTGTCTTGTTGGAAAGTATATTTTTCCAAAATTATGTGTTTCTCAGAGGAAAATGATTTTTTTGAATAGTGTGTTTTAAAAAATAAAGAAAAGTTATGGATCTCAATGAATGTGTGGTTGAAAATGATTTAAAAAAAAAAAAATCTTTCCCAAACAAGGTTTTATCGTGTTTTATTATCAAATATGGCTCAAGTATTTTAAAGACCCTATGTAAAAAACCAAATTTTTAGTTTAGTTTTTCAAGCAAGGGATTGTTGCTATCATTATTTGGCTTGTGAGTGAGTAAGATTTAGCCCTGTTTGATTTTGAATAAAAATTAGAGTTTGAATAATTTTAATAAAAGTTGATCAAATGTGTGATTGAACATTTGCAAGTCCCATTAATTCTATGATTGAAAAAAACTTGAAAAAAAGAGAGCAAAAAATTCTAATAAATAAAGGATAAACAAGTAGGGCGGACGCAGACCTTAAAAGTTAAGGGAGCACAATTGAACTTGTAAAGAAATTGGGAGAAATTTTACAATCGAAAATTTACGTCAAAAAAAATCATACTCCATGTAATTTTACATCCGAAAATTTACATGGGATATGACTTTTTCGGATACATTTTCATAAGTTGAATTGCATGGATATCATGTTTGCAAATTGCACAGGTTAAACTTGAACAATGCTAAATGTACATTCAACACCTTATATCATCTTCGGCATCCCTATTGTTTTCAAAAAATTGTGGGCGGAAAAATGTTTTTTTTTTTCAATTGTCTAATAGGATGTTGTCACGCGGTACAATGTAAGTAATGGTGTACATATAACATGATTGAATAAAGTTAAGGAATCTGTCCCCACTAACCCCGCTCCTCCCTGATAATGACTTATTTTCTTGCAATAATTGTTGGTCTTAAGTTTGAATTTTCTTCATTGGAAACTATTTTGTTGAATATTGTACATAGTTTATTAAATGAGAATAAGAAGCTACTTAAAGCAACTCAATTTAGTAGTCAATAATTGATGTAATCAATTTAATTAGTTAAGAAAAATTTTAAACTAAATGCAAATTTGTGTTCGACTACAAACAACCACTCTTCTCGTGGAAGTCACGAGAGGATATAAATTCTTATACTTATTTTGAGATGCATGTATTCATGCTATTTGATGGATGTGTCGATTTTCCTCCCCTAAAACCTTCAAAAAGGGCAAAAAAAAAAAAAGTGTCGGGACTTGTCATCCCATGAGCTTTGTAGAGTAAGAATTAGTAGAAGAAGAAGATATGCATGTTTTTAGTGTGTTTATTGCATATGACATATTTGCTCTCTAATTAAAGCAATTGTCATGGGTGATGTGTCCTCATCGCAATGTAGTGAGTGTACACGCACCCCATCCTTTATTGAGAATCAAACATCAAATAAAGAACGCGGAGTACGAAATGGGACGTAGACCAATCCAAGAATGTTAGTTATAAAGGCGAAATTTAAATATATGAAGGGAATATCCAGCATATCAATTTAAATAAGGTTGATGATAGGGATATTGGGATTAGAAGTGGGCATGGTTCATTTAGGTTCAGTTCTAATATTGGGATTAGAGGTGGGCATGGTTCAGTTAACCGAACCAATCTTGAA